TGTTTGATAATCATTACCATTTCCATTATTATCATTTCCATTATTATCACTATCAGTTAATTTTAAAGTCATCGTTCCATCATCTATTTCCCAAGCATCATCGGTATTTATTGCATATTCATGAAATTTTTCTTGATCTTTTTTCTTTGATATTAATGGATTTGTTACATTTGGTTTTCTAAAAAATTTAAATCAATTAAAATAAATTTTGTTTTATCTTTTGTCTTGTTTTTTTTTGGTTTTTTTACTTATTTGAAAGTTTTGATGAAAGTGGTGGGTGTTGAGCACCGAAAACAGGCCTTTTATTGAAGAATATATTTTAATTAATCTATTAATAAAGAAGAATTTACCTTCCAGGTACAGTATGTTCAGTTTTCCATAAAGTTGATTGTGTATTACTAGACATTTTACAATGATTTAGTAAAGCATAATGTTAATATCCTGAAAATTTAGTTATAATTTTTAGATTTTATTTTCGATAAAAATAAATAAAGCATATATATATCAATAAAATGAAGGACACATTAAGACATAAAAGAGGAACCAAAATAGAGAATAAATAAACAATAAATAAGAATCGAATGATATATGATAATAAGAAAATGTAATATAATATTTTTCTATTGGATAAATTATTAACCAATAGAAAATAAATTATTTTAATCTATATAATCAAAGAAACAGAATTTGTTTTTTAAATATAATTATAAATATGAAAGAATTAAATAAGTAATTTCGTATAGATGAAAATTGAAACAATAAATGAGATTACCAAACCGTTTCTACAGTGACAGTATTGATGATGTCAAAAGATATTTGAAAACGAATAATTTCAGTTTCTTTTCCAATGGCTGTCGCTGATCTTGATTTACCTGTGGCACGTAATTGAGATGATTTTCATATTCTATTAATGATTTGATCTTTTTTTTTTCTGTTTTATAGTCTTTAGATCAATCGGAAGGTTATGACTTATTTGCACATGAAGCTCATCTTATTATTGATCAACTTGTAAAACAATCATTAGCACATGTGAATGATACAAAAGAAACATCGGATGAAAATAATGAGGAATATAATATTCAAAGAGATCGTTTTGTTGTACTAGAAAATGAAGCAAAAACAAATGGACAAATATCAGTACATTGGCCAAGTATTGCTGAATTTACCAATGAAAAAATTGGCATAGAAAAAATAAATGAATACATTGAAAAAGTAATTCATTTTAGTCTTACTTTTAAGAATATTGTTTCTTTACATATTAGATCTATTAAATATAATTATATAAGAAAAAGAAAAAAAAATCGTTTTTTATGACCGACAGATGATAGTTTAGTTTTTTCTTAATGAATTGAATAGTAAATGTATTATATTGTATGCAAACCCGATTCAATCACAATTAGAGCTATGCAGGGTTGAGTTAGAAAATTTTTTACAATCAGGGTATAGGTTATGAGAAAAAACTTAATACATCTCTAACATGATACTATGATTCCTATTGATCACTGATTGAGTTTTCTAACAGAGATGTGCGGGGCATTGATTTTCCATCCCCCGCGGGGCCCGCCCCGTAAAATTCACAAACCCGTCCCGTCCGAACCCCGTGGTTATTCTTTTTGAGAATCCCCGTCCCGCCTGTGCCCCGGCAAATCTATACCCGCTCCGCCCGTACCCCGCATAGGCAACTTCTTGGACCAGCCCGCCCGACCCGCCATTTTTGTGACGGGCCCCGACCCGTCCCCGTGTAACCCGAAGAAATTTTTTATTTACCAGATACTTTATTTTTAATGATGCATTCCTTTTATGAAAAATCATTTTTTACAAAAACAAAACTCAAGTCTATATGAGATGGTTTTGAATGATTCACTTTGTGATTGTTGACAAGCACGTATTTTTGTGGTTGTTCTTTTAAAAACATTTTTATATTTGACGAATTACATTTAATATTACTCGATCAGCAATGACTGAGAGATGAAGAAATAATTGTAGATGAACGATCAGTATTCGACGAAGCTGTCCTATTAAGTGATTCATCAGGAGATAATTATGTAATTCGATGATACTTAGGTCTGACCAAAAGTTCTGGCAACATTATATAAAAATATAAAGGTAAGCAGGCAGCTTTAATTTTATTTTATCAAATATTGAGGACAGTTGCCATGATTATTTAAACCAAGTTCGATCCTTTCCAACAATTTGTTAAAAGTTTTTTTCGAAAAAATTTTTAGATATCGTACGAGCTTATCATGTTTCATTTATTTAATCAGTTAAACTACATTTAATGGAATTAGTTAGCGAAAAGTTACATAGTATCAGGCCTGGCGAATATGATAGATATGATATTATATTGATGCCTTCTTCTGTCATGCAATTAATAACATTAGATGAGTATGAAGTCAACGATGACCGTCAAGCAATTTTGTACATTATGAACCTGATGTCTCTGTTTGTTTCCATATTTGATTAATAAAATGTTTTGGAGAGCGTTCAGCCTAATACTTGTGACTTACAGTCTTGCCTTTATCTACATTCAGGAGTATTTGATTTAAAAAATATACCAAACAAAGCATTTTCTAAAATCTTTATTCATGAACAATAGTCTTTGATGATTCATCTTCAATAAGCCAGCCAGCATCGGATAACTTATGACTAACCTATCTAAAATAAATCTATATCTCATCACTAGTAGTACTAGAATGCAACTGATATGATCGAACAAGATTTTGCTAACTTTTCACAATAAATGAAATATGATTAGCTCATGCGGTATCCATGATACCTAAAATTTTTTCGAAAAAACTTAAAAAAACTTTCAACTAATCGCTGGAAAGGATCAAACTTGGTATAAATAATCATGGCAACTGTCCTCAAAATTTGATAAAATAAAATTAAAGATATCTCCTTATCTTTATATTTTTATATAATGTTGTCAGAACTTTTGGTCAGACCTAAGTAGTAATTCACAAAAAAATTCAAACGATAATTCTAAATATAAAATAAGTTTTAGTCCAGTTATTCACTTAATATAAATTGATAGTAGAAGTTGCGTATGACAGACGATAAAGAGAGAAACAAACAAATGGTAGACAATCTTGTACATAATAGGATGAAAGTAATGAATCAATCAATATGTACTTTGTACTACATACTTATACTAAGGACATCCCGTGATAAGTTTTGACGATCTTTCATCACACCCGAAAAAAAATGTTTACCCGCCCGAACCCGTGTATTTCATACCCGCTCCGCCCGAGACCCGTGTCATTTAAAAAAATTATTACCCGCCCCGCCCGCCCGTGTACCGTAAAATACCCGCGCCCCGTTAATCCCGCGTTTAATTAAATTTTTCTTCCCCGCCCGCCCGTCGCCACGTGGCCCCGCGGGGCCCGCAGGGTGAACCCCGTGGACCGCACATCTCTGTTTTCTAACTAGGATAGAATTAAGAGAGACTGAGATAAATATTTCGTAGGGTAAGAGTTAGAAATATTAGATTAGCATTAAAATTACAATAATTCTAATTCTTCAAGCATTAGAAATAAAATTAACCTTAATGCTTAAGTATTATTTGCATTAGAATTAATTAACGTTAGGTTAAAAAGTTTCCGATAACAAAATAAAGGTTTTCTTAACCTGAAGTGCCATTTTCAAAACAAAACAAAGGTCTCTCTAACCGAAGGTGCTATTCCCAAGAACAGCACAAAATTGTTCGATTTTGGGAACTTTTGAGTTTAGAGTGTCCGTAGACCTAGTCGTCGGTAATCTATAACTTAGCACTTAAAATAATGTTAATTTAATGCTAACACCTAGGCGTTAATTAATTCTAATGCAAACAATACTAAAGCATTAAGATTAGTTTTAATATTAATACTTAAAGTATTGCCATTAGTATCAATAAATGTTAATTCTAATACGACATTCTTAGTAAGCGTAAAAGCTTCCTAGAATTGAGTAAGAGTTTAAAAACTTTTCTCAGTCATCGTACAGGATACGAAAAAAGCGTATTCTGCATATCTCTAATTAAAAGGGGATGTGAAACATGTAACATTTTCATTCCTTTCGCAATCGTAGATTATGTTCGTTTTTCACCGAGTATATCGAAATTTTTTCTTCTTTTTAATATTGTTTACCCTAAGATCAACACTATAATTTCTTAAAGCTTTCATATGATTTAATCAAAGGAATGGAAAACAGCACCAGGTGGTCACGATAATAGTTGGTTATATGCAATTGATTTCCTTCAACGAAAATCATTAGAATTTAATGATCTATACATATATCGAGTGAGTATTATCTTGTTAGTTATTTATTTCTTAAATAATTTTTTTTTTTGATTCATCAGGTATGTTATTCAATACCGACACGACGACAACCAATACCAAGACAAACAGTTTCGATTTATTTTACAATTGATGTTTCAAAAATAAAACCTAAAGTAAATCAATGATTACAATAATTTTCTAAAAAAAAAGCAAAAATTACATTTATTTATTCAATTAGAATACACCAGTACAAATTTCATTTGTATTTGAAACAATGAGAGTTATTTATCATCCAGGCAATTTTCGTTTTCGTCAAAATTGGTTACAAAATATTATTTTATTAAAAGAAAAAATTGCAAATGATATTGATTTTTAAATTTTATTGCAGGATTTATTATTATTATTATTATTATTATTATTATTATTATTCTTTTTCACAACAACCGTTAATATAAATAAAGTAAAGAACACTGGTTGAATTAAAACGAACATATTTTGTGAGCAAATTGAAAAGATAATAAAACAATTATTATTGACAAAATAAATAAAATAAATATTAATATTAATATCAACTAAAAGAATATTACGAGATCTTAGAAATAATAACAATAAATAAATAAATATATTAAAAAAAAAACCGTTTTGTTAATACTGTGTATTTTTTGTGTCTAATATTTTGGAGACTACATGAAAGAACTGTAAAATTTTTATCACATTGTTATGTGATTTTGCACTGGAATATAATTAAAAAGTTGATGAAGATGATGTGATAGGATGTTGAAATAAATGTAATGGTTCAGTTTGATCTGGCTCAGACTGATATTTGCCTAAAATTAAATAAGTATTCAAGAATATTTTTAAAAAAGAAACGAAGGGTTAAGATTAATATCATTGAAAAGAACTGTTCGATAGTAGCATTATCAAATCGAAAATCACTGGTTTTTATAGTGGGTTTAAGGATAAAAATGATATTGATAAAAATTTTTATGCGTTTTCGATAGTCTTTTACTTTACTGATATTGTCCGAAATCTGCTAACTAATTTGGCTATACCCAATCTAAACATTTGTGAGATTTATTATAAACGAAATTTCTTTGTAAACATTTGTTTGTTGCAAAATTGTTAAGTTTAGATTTATTGATAATCATTTTATGACAAAGAAAGATTTTATAGATTCTAATTATGTTCTCTCACAGTCTTAATAAAAGTTTAGATATTTGCTCGGTTAACATAACCTATATAGTTCGAATTCTACAAAGGATCTATTTCTTGCTTCAGATTTCTAATTCATTACTTACCAGGGAAGTCTCCCAATTAATCTATCCGACTTTAAGTCGGCACAATGTGCATCATGTAGGTCCTAATGAGTTATGAACACTCCGAAAAGGATTCGTCCTATTAGCTTATTGCTGCTGAGATACTGCTTTTTTTTATATTAAAGATCTAGTTTCCACAGAAACATCGGAGAAACTAACTTTCGAATTTCAATTCGAAATTTTTCAGAGATAGATCTTAAAAAGAATAGTTTATTGTAAAAGTTTGACGTTTTTTTATTTGCTTTCATCCTGAATTACGAATATAGAATTTACTAATTTGTATGTACGATGTAAAAAAACATGCTTTTTATCATAGCCGCATCTTAAGATCTGAAACTTTCAAAATAAATTATTTTGTTTAAAGCCTATTTCGATGCAGATTTTCGAAAATTATTTTTTTCGCTGTTCTCGAGGAAGATAACGTCTACGAACCTTTGAAGCTGAGTGATGACCGTTTTACTGAATTTGCGATGCAGCTTTAAGTATTTACCGAAAAATCAAATAGCTGAATTTCCACCTGTATTTTGCCCATAGATAGGTCTGATGACTGTGGAAATATTCTGAAAGTTTGAACCGAAAAGAATGTTCCTTTGTCGAGATATTGAATTTCCAAAAAAAAATGATTGTTTTCAACAAAGACCGAGTTTATTTGAAAGTTCAATCTCTCGACAAAGAAACATTCTTTTCGGCTGAAGCTTTCAGATCGAAATTCAGTTATTTAATTTTTCGATAAATGCCTAAAATTGGATCGAAAATTCAATAAAACGGTTGTAACTCGGCTCCAGAGAGCCATGACCGCGAACCCTTTTCCAGTCTTACCAAGATCTCCTTGTGAATCCGATATGAGCTCAAATAGCGGGCATCAATTTGGGTATTTTCTTCGTAAGTAACAATATCGAACATATGTATACATAGCATTAGCTGTAATGTTCTCTTTTAAATACTAAATGAATAAATAGAAAGATCTAAATATCACTATTTCGATTTCTGAGTTATCTATTATATCTAAATTAAACATATCTATAAATTTGCATTTGGAAACCAATTGCATAATAATTGCATTCAAACAATTGATCATTTTCGAAGTACATATTTCCTTTCTTGATTACTTAACTTTTATTTCTGAAAACTTACCGCTAAGTATTTTCTTTTTGAGTAATGAAATTCGATATCCATTACATGCAAGTTCAAAATCAATTGATGAAAAAAGTGCATTTTCACCAAGAAAATAAGCATTCACAATCGATGATGCTGTTAACGCTTGTTGCTGTTGTTGATCATTATCATTATCAATTGTATTCTTGTGTGCAGTTATTATTGTTGCTGATAAATTTCCTGTTCCATTGTTTACATATGGAACTTTCCACCACAGTTTACATTCATCCACAGACCTATTCATCGAAAACATAATATATTTATTCTTTTTTAGCGAAAAAGAGTCGTTTACCATTCAGCGGTCGGTGATGATTCTTTTATTTCTTGTCCATCTGTGATTATCGTATAACATATCACAGTATCATTATTTAATCGAATTGAGTTCGGTAAAGCTGAACTATTGAAACTATAATTTATATTTACTGAAATAGTATCAAATGTACGCGTCCATTTTGATGACATTTGAATTGGAATGTTTGATACATCTGTATGTTTTATCTATTAAAAATATAAATTAAAAGACAAAAAAAAAAAAATTATACAAAAATTAACAAACTTCATAATTGAGCACATTAAGATTGAAGAAACGTGATGAAGGATTTTTTTCTTGTAAATTTTGAAGAGCATTATATAATCCTGTCATATCAAATGAATAAATCGAATCATTTGAATCTGTTGATGATTCATTTCTATTTAATCAAAAAAAATAAGAACAAGATAGATATTAAATTAAGAAAAAAACAATGAGAATGTTTGTTTTTTTTGTGCGTACTGTGCGATTAATGAAGATTTTGCAGTTATATTTTCAATATGATCTAAATTTTTCAATCGAAATTGTAATCTATTTGAAAAATGTGATGGATCAACAAATAGATTCAAAATTGAAGCTGGAAATGAAATAAGCATTTCACCAACAATTCGACTTTTCCAACTTAAATACAAATTAAAAAATATGATTAGAGGAAAATGTTTCTTTTTTTCTTTACTTTTCTTGATTATTTCCAGACATCATAACATGAATTATTTCTTGAAAGGCAATTGCAAGTGGAATTTGATCTATAGTATCAGGAGTTAATGGAGACATTGGTTGCTCATGAGATATTATTGGACTGTTACGGAAATTTGGATTAATAGAAGCAATTGATGGACTAACAGAAGTCCATTTTGGTTGCTGTTGCTAAATAGAATAATAAAAAAACAAATAGAAAATAAAATTTTTATTTGGTTATTTAAGCAAAATGATTAGCGTAGTAGAAGAAGGATGTATGAAGAAGATTCTAAACATTTTACAAAGAAAATACCTCCACATTGATGTCTATAAAATAATACAAATGTTGGTCTTTATTTTCATTAGTATAAGAAATCATTTGTATTTGCGAATGATCATAATTTGAAGTCCTTGAACTTTTTTATACAAAAAAAAAATAGATTCTGCATTTTTGCAAAGATCGATGTAAAGAGTTGGATAAGATCTATAATCATCTCAAGAACTCTCGTAACCAATTTCATGATAGCATAAACTAAAAATTCATATTCTGTACTCATATCTCGTCCTTATTTAGCATCGGCTAGTACTGATTATTCAATAAACATTCCTGCATATTTAAGAAAAGACTAAAACACAGTCACTATTACTCGTGCGTAAAATCATTCGTTGAACCTCATTGATATGCATTCATTGAGTATAATTTAATATTTGACGAAGAAAATTTCCATCGATGCTTATTAATTAAATCAAGTATAGTATTATTTTAAAAGAACATTCTGATGTAACCTATCGAAATTTCAATACAATAGAAAACAAAAAGAAAATGATATTCATTTATATAGATATTTATTTTGACTAAATATAGAAATCGACGTTTAAGAAAGATGTTGAATGCATTTTAAAATGAATTAAATAACAAATTCTTACATGTAAGTGACGTGCAGAAGGCACTTGCAATCTAGGAAATAAAATTTTTTTATTTGTTGTTAAATCTTCATGATGAAATGAATTAGCCACTTCCGTATCATCATCAGTAGATGATATTGATTGTATATTTGTGCCTAAAGAAAAGATTTATAAACAAGATTTATTAACATATTCTTTATAACATATTTATGTACTTTCAATAGTCGATTGTAGAGGAGCAAACAAATCTTCTTGATTAGTCAAAGTATTGGAAACCGAATTTGAATGAGACCGATCGAATTCATCATGTGGTGGAAACATACTTGAATTATCAGTATTATCTGTTGTTGCACTATTTGATATAGTTCTATGATATAAATTGAGAAATGTTTATTATTCAAAAGAAAGAAAAAAAGTAAAAATCTTTTTTATACAAGGCTGCACGTAATGGAATAGATGGTGGAAGTGTTCTTGTACCAAGTTGGTCAATTGAGAATGATTTGTTCAAATCTGGATTTCTCTAAACAAAAAAAAAGCAAATAGAAAATCTTAATCTGAGATTTTGTTTTAGTTAATTTACGTTTGACTGTCCTCTAGAAGTTGTCATAAAGTTTCCCATATTTTTATCAATAAGACGCATCGCATTAACAATTTTTGTTTCATCATCTACATCTGATAAAATTTCTGCTTTTGGATTTATTTTAAAATCAATTTTCAATATTGGATTATCATCATCATCATCATCATCACTACTTGTATCAGTTGAATTTGATGTTTTTAATAGTGACGGTGGATTTACACTATGACGAACTTGAAGCTTGTTTTCATTTTTTAACATTGTTGAACTTGATTGAGTATATGGCTCTGGTGTTGACTATTAAATATGAACGACAATAAGAGAAAATTAATTTTAAATAATGAATATTTACACATTTATTTCTCTCAGTATTGAAAGAACTTGGAATAGAATCAACGTTATTATCAGTTTTTTTATTAAAATCAATGGTTTCATAATTAGAATTTTGTAGATGTACTTCATTTGATTCATCACGTGATTGATGAACTTGTGAAGGTTTAGTAGATTTAGTATTTGTAGATGTTTTTTTTTCATTTTTCTTTTCTTTTCTTTCTTTACGACCTGTTCCAAAAAATCCTATTGTACAAAAAAACAAACAGTTTTTTATTTTAAATCTAGTGTTAGAATGTACCTGTAAATTTTGGTCTTCTTATTTTGACATCAAATGGATTCGATGTTTGCTCATTACTACTATTTGGTTCTGGCGAACGCAACATTTGATTGTTAGACGTCGTGACATTAGGAGATGTTGTCGTAATGTTTGCAGTAGGAGATGTTATTAAATTATGAGATGGTGCATTTGAATGAGTGTTACCAGAATGTTGTGACAATGCTAAAGAAAAAAAAAGATACGAACACGAATTATTTATTATTGTTGTTTTTTTCTTTTTTGGTCTATTCTATTATTCAGCTGAAGAAGCTCATTAATTAATTGAATAGTTAATGCAATAACCTAAGCATATAGCTATGAAATTCCCGTGTAAAAAAAAGTAATTTGCTTTCTATTCATATATATATATATATATATATATATGTTTTCTTTCTCCCATTGTTAATATTTGCTTGAATGCATGCTTATAAATATCATACAAACCATGAAAAAATTGATGATAGTGATGTCGAGCTGAATCAATTGATTCATATTTCAGAAAAATGATGAGAAAAAAAAGAAAAATCTTTTTTTTTGTCTCCTCTTACCACGATTATTATTAGCATTGTTATTATCACTACTTTTTGTATTTTGTGGTGAAACATTAAAATGAGCTTGGAATGAAGGTACACCTGATTCTAATTGATCAACTTGATTTGAATCATCATGACCACTTAATACATCAGGTGTATTGTTATTTGTTGGTGGTGCTGATGCTTTAAGATTATCAACTTCTTCAATTTGTAAAACAACTGTAGAAATGAATTAAAGAATAAAATTTATTGATAAAAGAAAATAATTCTTTTGTATTTTTTTCTACCTGGTCGATCTGTTCCTGTTTTCTTTTGTTCAACAAACCCATCTAAAAGATCATTTCCACTTAATGATTTTAACTTATCGCTAAAATCATTTTGTGCTAATCTTATTTGTTCATGATTTCGTTGAAGTAGTTCAGAAAAAGTTAATGAAAAGAGAAGCATTTTTTCAATATGATCAATTTCAAAATCTTGAAATTTTGTACAAGCTAAAATCAAAATAGACAAGAATAAAATAAAAAAGCATTTTATTTTAATAGAATAAAATTTACCATCCTGAAAACGTTTTTCATAATCATTTCTAACTGAATTATATTTTTCAATTGTTAATTTATATTCATCTTGAGCAAGTCGACATTTTCTTTCTAAACGTTCGACTTTATTTGCTTGTAATGCATTTAATGTTGTTTGAGCAAGACCTGGTGAATTATTATCTTGTGATGTAGCTGATGAAGTATTGAATAAACTATTTCCAGTACGTTTTGCTCGTTCATAATCTAATGTAACCGAATGATATTGTTCTTTAGCTTTATTAACTATATGTAATGAATTATGTAATTGTGATATAAGTTCAGCTGAACGTAATATATCTCCATCTTTTTGTATGTGTGTTTTAACTTTCTTTTGATATAAATCTTGATAATTATGAATATCACGTAATAATTCTTGATAGAAACTCACAGTTGCTGAATGTGTTGAAGAAATTTTATCAAATAGATCACGTATTAAACTCCATATTGGTGTAAATGTGCCCAAATATTGATTTTTTGTTAGTTGAGATTGTAAACGAGATAAACTTTTATAGTACACTGATTCACATTGTGCACTTAAAGAAGAAGAAAACAAATACACCTTTCAATGAATATTTTGCGTACTTGAAAACTTTCGTAAAGATATTCAATATATCAGTTTTTTTTCCTGTTTTTTAATTTAATCAAAGAGAGTATTTTATGTAGAAATTATTCTATATAACTTTCACAGATTTTTGCGGGCCCTAGGTTCGTACTTCATAATTCATCTTTCGAAATTTATCGACATTTTCTGATAATTTCCCTAATATTTTTCAATACAGAGATAATGTATTATATACTATTTTTTTCTATTATAAATTTATTCTTACTTTTTTTATTTTTTTCTAATATACTTGTTTTTTTAAGATTATCCTTAGAAAAAATAACCCATTACGCAATTCGAAAGACTCAAGAATGTATTTTGATATTTGTACCATGTATTTTACATACCTTTCATTAAGAAATCGTTGAAATTCTTCAATAGCTATTGCACCATACTTAACATTACTTGATAACACCTCAAAACCCCGATTTCCTTCACTCCAAAAATAGTCACTCCAATGAACCATCTGAAAATTTTATCGAAAATACAGAAAAAAAAAGAAAGGGAAAAACTATAATTATCCTCCAGCCAATAGAAAGATGAAACGCTATGCATTATAGAATGATTTTCATTGATTGTAGCGCATAGTAGAATATTTAGTATATATATATATTCTATATCTGGATCATTCTTATCTTCTGTTCTTATCATCGCTTTTTGTTTTGTTTATGTTATACTTCATATTAAACAAGCAACAAATATTATTATGTTTTAATAAGAATATTAAATGGCAGAAAAAAGTTTACGCACATTAACATCTGGAAAAACGGCTACGACATTAATGGCTTATGCACAATTAGAAATTGATAACAGTTCCACTTGTATACCGAGGTATATTTAATGAGAGACTTCTTTTGTTTTTTTTTTCTTTTCCTTGGAATAAATAGAAATCTTGTTTTTGTTTTGTTTGTTTCTATTTTTAGACTTTGTAAATTCAATATTGTTCGTGTTGTTTTAAATCGAGTTATCGATGGTGGAGATTTAAATGCAATTGTTGTTGCTGTTAAAATACAAGTAAATATTAGATCTAAGATTATTGATATAAATTAATTGAGGATTGATTTTTTTTTTTTCGTTTGTTTAGAGTAATAAAAGAACATTTCGTTGTTGTGAAATATCACTTCAACAAGATGGAACGTTAGATGCACCAGTTAATCTTCAATATTTAATTACTGTAAATATATATTTTGTTTTTTTTTTAAACAGAGAAAATTAGCTTTTTTTTAAATAGTATCCTCATTACTTTAAACGAGATATTAATAAAATTCATATATATATTCAACGACGAAAAAATCGACCCATGATTGGTTATAAAACATTAGCACGTGGTGAAATTAATCTCAATGAAGTATGTTTATATATTCAAAATTGTTATTAAGACTTTTGACATAGTTTCTTCTCAGAATAATTTATGATTATTTGTCTCATTAGTACAATTATCGTTTTCAACATAGTATTATAGTAACATTCGTATTCTTGAATTTTTTGAATTAATTTTGACATTCATCATCATAATTATTAACGATTTTATTACTACAAAAAAAGAACCTGATTTCTAGACAATAGACAGAACAAAAAAAAACAAAAACATCTTGTTGAGTATGGCAAAAACATTGCACTAATAGAATTATATTCATTGACGAGTATTGATGCTATGTTTTGAAGTCAAATTAGTTTATTTATCTAATCATATTAACACTCTAATGAAAAGTGGACAAAAAACAACATTACATCGACAATTTATTGAAGTTGATATCATCGCCGAGTCCTTTTCATCGATATGAAAGATTTCTTCTTATACTCAGTAACCTAACAAATTTTGATCAATTGATTAAAAAAACAAGCAACATAAAGAATTCATTAGAAGTACTCTTGTGATTGGTATTCTAAGACAAAAAAAAACATATAATTTAATCTTCTACTCGAGAAATCATTCGTCTGTTGTTGACGAGATTAACCAATAATCTCATGAGATTTGCTTATTTTTAATTGATAAAAACCATTAATAAAAACAATATTGAATTTTCTCATATAGGTTATTCAACGACCACAAAGTTTAGATTTGCATTTATATTTAAATACAAATGAAAAAGTCAAACAAAATGTACGTTTACCTATTCATGAAGATAATTCAGGTGGAACAATGGATGATATACAAAAACGTCCTATTGGATATGTATCAATTGTATCATTGTCAAGTACAATTCCAACTGAATCAACTGATCAGACAGCCACACGTTCTAAATTTGGATTAACAACAAAACGACATCATCATCATCATCGTATAGCAGATTTTGGTGCGTAATGAATGATCGAAAAGTTTTTAGACAAGATGTTTGTTCACTTTTTGACGTATTTTCGGCGAGTCAAAAGTTATGAGTTTGTACTCTTTTCAAATATGAGATTAGAAGTTTTGTTCGAGAGTAGTGAAATAATCCTTAAAAAGCTCAAGAAATTAGTTTAGACAGAACTCGAGGATCGACGTTTCCAATGAACGTGTTTGTTTATTTTGATCTATCTGAAAACATTTCAGACAAGCCAAAAATTATAAATCGTGACAAGAACTTTGTCCTTTCTTTGAATATGGACTCAGACATATACTGTCTATTTTTGTTCAACGGTAGTAAAGGACATTTGAAAGACCTGACAAATTATTTTTAATACTAAGCCGACACGTTTTACTTTATCCTATAAGTTCTTTTCTGAACATGCTAAAAATTGTTGGAATCTGTCGTTTTGTAGAGCATACACTTCTCTATAAAATTTCATAATAAACTAACGAGGAAATTTCTTCATCTACCGCTTCTAATTTCAGTGATTTTTTTGCGTCTATAGATACTGCATAGTGTTCTAATGGAAACTCTAAAAGGATTTGGTTTTCTATTGATATTTGACTAAGCTATTGAATTTGTAATATATCGATTTTCTAGAAGTCTCAGATATTTCGAAAAACTCATATTTTCGAATTTTGATTGAAAATTTTGTACATATAGAGAACTCAACTAGACTAGCTTATATAAAAGAAAATTGGAAGTTTTGAACGAAGTCTCTTCAAGAAATGAGACTTGTATGACATAGACCATTTTCCATGGATAGTGTATACAACATGCATTTTTTGAAAGCTTTATATGTCGAAGAGACTTTGTTGAAAACTTGTGAATTTTTTTATGATAGCTATTCTAGTTGAGTTCTTTATGTGTACAAAGTTTCAGATCGAAATTCGATCGCTTAGTCAAATCTCAATAGGAACCTAAATTCTTTTTAAGCTTATTATTATTAAAACACTATGTAGTATCTATAGGCAAAAAATCATTGAAATCTGAATGAGGGTAGCTGAAGAGATTTTCTCGTAAGCTGTAGCTTTTACCCAAGTGAAGTTAGAAGTATTTTGTCAAGAGTTTCTTTCAACGTAAAACGATTGTCGATTTTTCAAAAATAAGTTTTTAGGAAAAACAAAAATAGTTCATTTTGTATGATAGCTTCTGATCCACAAGCTGATATATAAATAAAGATCTCAACTTTTTAGTTTCGAACCACAATAGTGAAAATACAAAAATTTTCCATCCAAATTAATTTTTTGAACTTTTCATAGATTATTTTACTACTCTCGAACAAAATTTCTAATTTCATATGCGAAAAGAATACAAAATTATAATTCTTTACTCGTTAGAAATACTTTCTCGTACATCAAAATTGAACAAATATCTTATCTAAAAGCTTTCTGATGATTCGTTAAAAGAAAAACCATGTATATTTCCTTATTAGATAAATCATTAAATGAGGATGATGAATATATTGAAGAAGAAGAATTAAATTCTGAATTAGAAGATAGTGATCTTGAAATTAATTTAAAAACTAAACAACAAAAATTTAATACAAATATATTACGAAATAAAATAATAAAAATGTTTAAAAGAAAAGCAAATCAAACAACAAATAATCCAAATCGTAATACAAATAGAACAACAACAAATACAACAAATTTATCTCATGAACATCATGGATTTATATTTGATCGACAATCTGATAATGATGATGATCAATTATCAGATATAAGTGATAGTACTATACCAGTTGATCAATGGAGTATTGAATCTGTACCTAAACCTGGTTTTACACCTGTTGAACAATTACAAGTACTTAAATTTGTAAGTTAAAATAAAAAAAAGAAATAATCAAAAAATAAACATTATTTGTTTATTATTAGTCTGAAGATGATCATACGATGACAAGAAAATCAACAAATCCATTTGATAGTAATGACAGTCCATTAGTAAGTTTACAAAAAAAAAATTATTTATTCTTAGTTATTAATAATATAATAAATAAAAAGGATTCGGATGCATCCGATTTGGGAATGGATGTTGAACGAACAAATATTTTGCCACCAGCAGTAATGTCAATACTTGAAGAAAAACCATCACGTCCTATTATAACAGTTTGTCTTTTATTTTTTCTAGTCTTTCTTCAAACAAAATTTTTCATTATTTAGACTGTTCGTGAAAGTGCTGTTAAACAATTAGATGAACTTTATATAAATGATCGTCTTCCAGAAACTGTTATTTTTCTTTATACAGGAATTAATCAAACGAATGTATGTTTTATATTGTATTGCTTTGTTTCTAAATTATTTTGAATAATTTTTTTAATAGATAAATGCATCAAAATTTAAAGAATATAATCTATCAGTTATTTCAGTTTCAACTTTAGTCGATGCTAAAGCTGTTTTAAATAATTTAATTCAACGAATTCAAAAAAAGTTTGAGAGTTTTTTTTATGTAAAATTATAAGGAATAAATTTTGTTTTTTTTTTTCTTTGATTAGTACAAGTCAATCACAACAAATTCCTGTTATACGTATTGTTTTACTTGGTAATGATGCATTTGTTAATTCATTTCTTCAATCTTATGTTGAATGTTTGGCATCGAGACCACATGAATATATGAATTATTTTCGTTTTTATTTTGTTCCATTAAGTAATTCAATAGATATAGTTTTTTTTCCTGTGATTTAAAAATTCTCATGATTTTATTTTATAGCTTTTTCCTATTTGGCAAAATTTCTTGGAAGTTTAGATTCACAATATGGATTATTATTCGGTGGAATTGAATTATCAAATGAAATGATAGGTAAAGAAAATTTTTCAATTACAAAATAAATTCTTTTTTTTTCTGTCAATTGTTTAGATATCAGAGAATTATCACAAAAGATCACACGATATTTAAAAACGTCTCAACGAACACTTTCATTACCCGTTGGTGAAGTTATGCTTAACCGAAAAGGACGATTGTAGGTTTTTGTTTTATGAAAACATAAAAGTTAATGAGATCTACTAATGACAAAATTAAAAAATGTTCCTTTCTTACTAAGGAACATATCAAACGATTGAATGCCATTCGACTTCGTGCTTTGCTTATTAGTAGGATCCAATGAAACTAACAAAACATCAAAAGGAGTTCAAGCTCTTGAATAGCCCAACTAGAGTTAAGACTATTTCAGTAGTTTTTCGATCTCTGGGTCAGTTATTCAATTACAAGATTTTTACTTGAAATTTTACCCATCGATAGGCTTCACAGTCACTAAAATGTCCTAAAAATGTCAGCTCGAACGAATATATTTTTCTTGAGATATCAAATATCTAAAGTAACTAAATTCTATGGTTTGCCTTGCGATATATAAACATTTATTGAATACTTGATATCTCAAAGAGAATATATATGTATGCGCTGAAACTTTTAGATTTCGTTATGAGAACTTTTTTAATCCTGCTATATCGATACTCTACACAGGATAGAGAAGAGAAGAGATCAATACTCAATCAGTAAAGTATAAATGATATACTAGAAATAAGATAAATAGAAATAGTGAGCGAATCGCTCTTATAGAAATAACAATAGAAATTTAATTGGCATTGATATGTGTACTAAAACATATTACAAATAATATCTGTTTTGTTCTTCATCACCTTATACGTATTAACATAAATATTTAATTTTGTCAATGGCTTATCTCTCTTTTTATTATATTTATCGTTATTTTAGACCAGACGAAGATTCATCACCAACATTTTTACCATTCTGTTGTGTAAATATATTTTATTGTCTTATTTATTTTTAACTAAATATATATCTTTTTGTTTTTTAGTATGTTCGTCTTGGTACATTATCATCAACATCAAATGACAATCAAATGACATCAATTGATGATAATATTCTTCTATCGAAATCTTTATCTTTATCTTTATCAACAAATCCACCACGTGATTCAAAAGATTCGTCGGATGAAGAGACTTCAGCAACAGCATTAGCATCGTCTCCTCCACCAAAAATTACAAATACTTTAATAAAAAGTTCACATATAGAGGAATCAATATCACCATTTGATATATCTGTTGATTATTGGACTATAATTGGTAATAATGCTAATATAATTAATGACAATCAAAAAGAAAGAAAAGATGGAATAAGAACAATAAAATCATCATTAAAATCTAATATTCGTATATTAACTATAACAAGACAAGCAACAATAAATTTTGATGGAAAAATTTCATCTCCATTAACAATGACTTATGTAACAAGAGAAAAAAAACAAAAAAGTAAGTTTATTTTTCTTTTTATTTTACATTTATTATTTTTTTAAGCCATATCATCATGCCATAAATAAGCATGAGGTTTTATTTTACGTTGATCAGATATCATTGGTTTTTTATCTTTTGTTAACCATGAACTTGTTGATATGTTTGATGTTTGTTTTTGAAATTGATTTGAATTTTGATTACATAAATATCTTAGTAATATATAAATTAATGTTAGAATAAACGCAATTATGCTAGCAATTAATAATGCTAATAAACATAAGATTAACATTCGTCCAAATAAAAATATTGACTTTTGTAATTTAGTCATTGGAAAATCACGACGACATGTATCATCATAAGCAGCATTTTCACGTTTAACAGGAAAGTTATAAACCATACGTATTGCTCGTATATCATCATGACAAAGCATACGAAATGTTGAAAAATGCATTACAGATTGCATATGTGGATTTGGTGGTACTGGTTTTTCAGCATTTGTTGTATGCTAGAAATTAAGAAATTTAAGTTTTTCTAGAATAAAACAATTTCATAGTTGAATTCATTAGAAATCGAATCGATTTAGTTCGGAAAAAATACCTTGAATTAATCTTGATATTCTAATAGATTCATTAGTTTATTATAAATTGTGACATGAATCAGCTTCACAAGAAACATGCATTGATTCAATGTGTAGACAACATCGATTATTAGATTGTATTTAGTATTTGAAGAATTATGAAAGATTCAATTTGATGAAAGAATTTTTTTTTAAACTAGTAGACAATAAGTGATTGGCAAGGTCTCACAAAACATAGTTGTTTACTTTTGACGTATTTCCAATGAGTCAAAAGCTGCGATTTTGTTCTCTTTTCAAAAATGGAATTAGAAATTTTGTTCGAGAGTAGTGAAAGAATCTTTGAAAAGGCTAAAAACTTACTGTAGACGGAACTTGTAGGCTAACATTGCTGATGAACATATTTGTTCATTTTGACCTGCTTGAAAGCATTTCAGATAGGCCAAACACTATAGATCGCGAACAGAATTTGAATATAAACTTAGAAATGTTGTGTCTATTTTTGTTCAACAGTAGTGAAGTACTTTTCAAAAGACCTAAAAAATTATTTGTAATGGTCAGCCGATAGATTTTTGTTTATTTCAAACATTCTGAAAATTATCGGAGCCGATCGTTTTGTAGTATGAACACTTCTCTACAAAATGTAGTATTAAACTAAACTGTAGTTTTGACTCAAGTATTTTTTCAAGAGTTTCTTTCAATGTATCACAGTTGTCGGCTTTTCAAAAATGAATATTTAGAAAAAAACAAAAATGGTACATTCTGTAGGATAACTTTTGATCTACAAGTTGATATATGAATAAAGATCTTAAGTTGTAGTTTCGAATTGCACTAATGAAAATACAAAATTTTTTGGATTTTTCAAAGATTCTTTCACTATTCTCAAACAAAATTTCTAATTTCATATTCGAAAAGAGTACAAACTCATACCCTTTTGACTTGTCAAACATACGTCAAAAGTAAACAAACATCTTGTCTAAAAACTTTCCAATTATTCGTTAATTTTCGATCTTTTGAACAACTTTAAATAGACGGATGAAATTTTCATCCATTTGAACGAGACCAATATAAAATCAATTTATGTGAAATTTGATAATCAAGTTATCATTTTAAATAATCATGTTAGAGTTCTCGTTTCCTGAACATTCTGTTTTCAAGGAACGAGAACAACTCCAAATTTTTTTTTTAATAGATTTATGTGAGACTTATGCGTTATGAGTTGCAAGGAACGGGAACTCATGTTGCATTCCACACACAAGAATTCGAAACTATCTTTCGAGAGCTTGAATTTAATCAGGCAAAAAGAAACACGAAGACATGCTTTGTCAAAATAAAAATGTCGATGATAATCAATGCACATATGAATTTATAATTCTATTTTGGATCACAGCAAAAAAAAATGCAATTCTAATATGCATAATTGAGTTTGCCAGCGAATTGACTCTATGCTCGCTTATTACATTTTAAGTAGGCATTTTAGGCTTCTCGTTTCTAAACGTTCCGTTGACAAACCAATGAGAACATATTCCATACTGCATTTGTTTTATATATATCGAGATATTTTGTCTATTCTTTTATGTGAGACTATGACGCATTTCAGATTCTTATGAGCAGAACACGAAAATGACACTTCTACTATTAAAAAGTCGAGAAAATGAATTTTTCTTTTCAAGTGTATTATGGAAATCTCGAGAAATTTAATTAAATAATCATTCATTTACATTCCGATACATTTCTCTTTCCATTAATGATCATTAGAAGTCTCAAATAAATTGAAGATTTTCACAAACGAAGATAGTTAACGTTCGAAGTATATTTTACTCTCAAAGGAGAGTATGGTTGATAACTATTGAAAATGGCTCCGTCGAGAAATTTGATTTCTTCTATGTGAAAACTATCACATAAGGTGCCCGAAACATTGAACCCGACCGCCGATGATAATCAACACTTTTTATCAATGCACTTCACATTCGATTAAGCTATTTTTATATGGTTCGATAGCGCCTTTCAATCAATTCAAAATGAGATAAAAACATTGAGAAAAAAACACTAGACACGCAAAGAAATTCCAAGGAGACTATTCTTCAGACAAGATTTTTTTGTCTAATATTAAGTCAATTTCTATTAGAAAAAAAAACAATTTGGATAAAAACTAATATGACATTCTGAACGAGCATCCAAAACTGAGTGGACTTACGCGTACTTCACAAATTTTTGCAACCTCTTTTTGTCGCAAAATTGTCTCCTGGGCTCCTCGGAATTGAGTCAAAAAATTTGACAGTGGAAACCAAATTCTAATCTTATATAACGATAGTAGAAATCCAAATAGTAGATGAATAAATAAAAAACAAAAAAAACAAAGTTTTCATGAAATTCATTCGTTGGCCAAACTCTAAGAAAGACCAAGAGTAGATTTTTTGACGGAACAAAAAAAGATTGCGGAAATTTTTAGAATACATGTAAGTTCACTCCGTTTTGGATGCTAATTCAGAATATCATATTAGTTTTCATCCAAATCGTATTTTTCTAACCGAGATCAACTAAATATCAGGCAAAAAATCATGTCTCAAGAATAGTCGCCTTGAAATTTCTTTGTGTGGCCAGAGTCTTTTCCTCGATATTTTTATATCATTTGCAAGCGTTCGAAGAGTACTTTTGAACCACACTCAAAATAGCTTAGTTGAAGACAAGATTCGTTGACATTAACATAGGTTTTCAGCCGGCAGCACTGGTACTAGAAGCATATCAGAGCAATGTGCTCCCTGCGAGGTCATATTGAACAGTATTTTTTTTCCTAATATTTTCATACCATTTTGAAGCCGTTGAAAAATGCTATCGATTCATATTAATACCAGTCTGATTGGTCTTCAGGTTGATAGATAAAAGAGCTGGTCATCCTCAACAGCTAATATAGTGTACTTATGACAACCATTGAGTATTTCAATTGGCCAGGACACAATACGAGCAAGTATTATAGGTCTAATTCTACTAGGAATCATCTCGAATGGGAGTTTGACATGACAGAAATCATATTTTTGTAGGGAATCGATTTCATCAGTTATCGATTCTCCCCCTCCTTTGTGTAGCGTTTTGGATATTAATCTTCTATGTAAGAATAGAAATACAATTGAATATAAAATAATTACCTCTATACCAAATCCATGTAATGTTTCATGTAATAAAGCCCAATGTAAATCAATGTCACATTCATTTGTTGCTTCAATACAAGTATATATAATTGGATCATAAACAAAATCATCTGAAACAAGAAAATTTTGTTGCATGTTAAATTTAATTGTTGATATTGGTCTATCATTTTCTGCAAGATGTATTCCACCATTAGCACGATATCGACTCTCTCTTGCTACATCAACTGGATAGATGTAAAGTGAATCTAATATTTGAATATTATCGATAGTTGCTTCTGGAATATCATCCATTGGACATTTGGTATAATCGAAAAAATTAAAATGAAAATTTGCTTCACCTGGATCAAGTCCTTCTTGTATGGTTATATCGTTATCTATAACTGTATTAATTCCTTCAATAATATAATTTATAGATCGATAAATATAACTTGTATTGATTCTATTTGGATAAAAATTTGCAATCCAATAAACAAATTCTTGTGGTCGATGTATATAACGCCAATCTTCTTTATAATTAACAAATTCAGGAAAAAGAACAAAACGTTTTTTTCTCGTTTGTTCAGTTATATTATATTGAGTAACTTGATCAACGGCAGTACTTTGCTGTGAACATCTCACTTCATAATTTGATTTTTGTCTTTTAAAACGTTTTGAAAAATTTTTATTTGAATAAGTTAATTTATTAATTATAAATAAAATAGAAAAGTAAATAAGAAGATTAACAGAAGATTTGAACAACATTTTTCTAAATGAAACATTTTTTGTTTCTATGGATATTTCTTTTTTCTTTTTAGTTATGAAATTTGGTAAAAAACTTAAGGATTTATCAAATGCTAAAATAATTGAACCTCAAGTTATAACGGGTATTAATCGTCTTGTTTGTACATCAAAATCACATAATGTGGAATTAAAAGGTAAATATTGTATTTTTAATTAAATTATAAATGAAAATTTATATTTTAGTAAATGTTGATGGACAAGAATGGAGTAATGTCAAATTCTTTCAAATCTCATCACAATGGCATACACACATCAAATATTTTCCTCTGGCAATATTTAATGAATTACGCAATACTTAATATTTGTTTTTATTTATTGACTCTAGTCATTAATATCATAATAAAATGTTTTGTCTGCTAATCTTGCAATGTTTTTCTGTAATAATCGTATGTTTCTCTACATTATATAGAAGTGAAAGTTCTTTTTTTTTTTCTATGTTTGATGGGTTGTAAAATTTGATTGTTGTTCCTTTTTTTTTCTTGTGAGTTTTAAAATGTATCTGTGTGCCTTGCAAGTTCTTGTAATTAAGAACAGAACAAACTATATTGTTTACAACTTTTGCTTTATCGTCTTCTTTTTTTTCAGATTTATATTGTGTTGTGTTGTAGTATGTTTAACTTCGTAAATGTGTACGTAACTAATCGGTATTGATGCAGTAAGTTTTATTCTGTTGTTTATAATGGATTGAAGAATTGAAATAATATTGTAAAAATCTATTTCGTTAAATACATTTTTCAATAATAACGAATAATTATTATTATTGTGTTTAGAATATCAATTAAAGAATAATTGTTTCAATGTTTTTTTTTTACTTATTCTTTTTTTGTTTTATTTGGCATTTATTAATTTTCTTCTATTTCTCTTGTACTTTATCTTTTAGTGATTTCTGCATTTTATTGTTCTCATTCAAGTATGTGGAAGGAAGTGACTAATTAATATCCGTTTTAAATAAAAGCTACATTATATAGGATACTAATGACTATTTCCGTCTTCCATTATGAAGTATTTCTTTAAATTATTATATTCATTCATCTATTAACAATCTACTTAGTTATAAACATCTATTCAATGTATATCGATAGTTTACATCATAAGATTGAGAACAAAATATATAATACAACAATCAAATTATTTTTTTTCTATAGAGAACTATTATGAATATTTGAAAACTTTGATCTAGTGTGAAATCGATATTTCAAGAACTATTGTTGATATAGTTTATAGTCACTTAAGAATGAACTTAACGATAGATGACAATATGATTTTTAGATGTATGTCGTATAGAACTTTACATGTTTATCAAAGTTCTAACATCGTCAAAAAAAAATTATAGAAGTTGTTTTAATTAAGTTAAACGATTCAAAATTATATATTTGAATCATTTCATCATAATAATACTCTGAATAAATACGTTTGAGGGAATCTCTTCAAATATCAAATCTCTTTTCGACCAAGACCATGTTGATTTGATGAGCAATAGAAAAGTTTAAAATAGTTTGGTTTTTTGTGCCTTCATTCTCGAGATATTGATATTTTATAGGGTTTTTCAACAAAAGACTGTGGCCATATGGAAAATTGATTTTCGACTTCAAATTTTGCATGAACAAAGTTCTCCATGAGGTTAGTTGATTATGCAAGTTTTAGTTTTTCTAGTATTTCCTTTCTGGAGATGTTAATATATAAATAAAATTTGCTTTCACCCACCAGAGAATTTTGAATATTCTATATCCCAGGATAGGAGATACTAGAAAAGTTACAACTTACCCAACGAACTAATCTCATTGACAACTTTGTTTGTACAAAGTTTGAAGTCGAAAATCGATTTTCTTCATTACCACAGTTTTTTGTTGAGAAACTCAATAAAATTTCCATATATCGAGGACGAATACCCGGAAAACCAAACCATTCTAGACTTTTCTATCATCTCGGTGAAAAAGAGATTTAATATCTGGAGAGGTTTTCTCACTAGCTGAATGAGAAAATACTTAGAGAAGATTAACGATTTGAATTATACGAATTTTTTATTATCATTCGTAATGTATGCTATTTTTTTTTTCAATCGGTTTCAAGTAGAAAACTTCCGGAAATCGTCGAATCATGAAAACACAAATAAGATTTTTATACTTGGTAGAAAATGAAAAGAGACCAACCACTGAATTTTGATCTTGTATTTCTACTTTCATAATCTATTAAATTCGAAGTTTTTCAGCGGAAGTTGGTCGTGTATTATTCACCAAAATATTTAGCTGGATGATTACATAATGAAGTATATAATATCAATTTTAGGATATCTTATGTAGAACTTTTCATAATAAAGAAAATATCATTTTTTCTATTCAACAATATTCTGAAATTATTAACAAATAAATTTTATTTTTTATTCTATACACAAGTCAATATATTAGTTTTGTAATTATATTTCTAAAATAGAATAAAAATAAAAGAATCATCTTTTTCTGTTTTAATGAATAATGATTAAATACCATGCGGTTTTTTTTTGTTCAAGATTTTCCTTGTACTTTTGATCAATGATGGGAAGTTCGATGATATATTTCTTGACTTTCATTCTTTCAACTTTCTTGAATGAAATTAGTAGTGGTCAACAAATGCAACTGATAGCTAGTCATGTTGTAAGTTAATTATTTGAAAAACATTAAAAAATAAATAAATTTTCCTGAAAATATTTTAGATTTACAGACATGGAGATCGAACACCTGTCACGACATTTCCAACAGATCCAGTAAAGCCAAGCGATTGGCCTAATGGGTAAATTAACTTGAAAAATTTCTTTATATTTATCAAATAATTTTGATTCATTCTAGCTTGGGTCAATTAACAATTGCTGGTATTGAACAACAACATCGTCTTGGTGGATATCTTCGTACTCGTTACGAATCATTACTTAGTTCAACTTATACGGCAAGCGAAATTGTCGTTCGTTCAACAGACCTTGATCGAACATTAATGTCAGCTCAAGCAAATCTTGTCGGTCTTTATCCAGTACTTAATTTTACTAATGATCCATTTCCAATACAACCAATTCCAATTCATACAGTATCAGCTCATCAAGATTTTGTATGGCATATTTTTAAATAACAAAAAAGAAAAATAAATCAAATAAATCAATTCTTTTAGTTACTTGGTGCAAATGATTGTCCAAGATATGATCAACTTGAAGATGAAGTTGATCAAAGTGATGAAATGAAAAAAATGGATGAATATTATGCAGTAAAAATTATTTTCTTATCTATTTTAATATTTATTTATCTATTTATTTATCTATAGCCATTTTTTAAAAAACTTGAAGAATTGACAAATGTGACTAATATGACAGTATATAATGCTTGGGATATAGCTGATACAATTTTTGTTGAAGTAAAGACTAAGATAAATAATTAAACAGATTTATTTCGATAGATTATTCTTTTTTTCTTAGCATATTTATAATAAAGCTCCAGCATGGGCAGACGATGCTGTTCGACAAAATTTATCTAATATTAATGACTTTGCATTTCATTTTCTTTATGAAAATAATGATACCAAACGAATTCGAGGAGGTTTGATAATTATGAATCAATATTATACGCAAGCAAAAAATTTATTTATTTAGGTCCATTAGTACAAGATATCTGGTTAAATATGAATAATTCAGTACATGGAAAATCTTTTTACAAAGTTAAAATGTATTCAGCTGTAAGTCATAAAAATGTTCTTTCTTTTTTTTTTTTGATTGATAATATTCTATTTATATAGCATGACACAACTGTCAGTCCAGTTCTTTCATTTCTTGGTATTAATTACCCTCATCAACCACAGGTAAAATAAAAAAAATAAATAAATTTTATCCATGTTTTAAATATTATTTTTGTTTTATTTAGTATGCATCAGCTATATTTATTGACCTCTATCAACAAAGTAAGCTTTTTTATTATTTAAATTTACAAACAAATATGATTTTCTTTAAAAATAGATTCAACATATTTTGTTAAAGTTGAATATTTAAATGTAACAGATTCAAATGTATCTTATCCATATTTATTAAATGATTGTCCAACAATTGAATGTCCATTTGATAAATTTACAAATATTTATCAACCTCGTTTTCCAGATATTGCGGATATTGAATGTGCAAAAAAAGACCCGCCTATGCCACCATGTAAATAAAAGAAATTTGTTATATAAAAGAAATTTTATTTTTTTCTATTTAGCTGATGGTAATAATAAAAAATTAATAACAATTCTTGCTTTTGTTATTGTTGCTGTTATTATTATGATATTTGTGATATTTTTATGTCTTTATTTACGAAAAACTGATCGTGATCCACCTCTTTTAGGACTTGATCGAACAGTACAATCAGCTTGATTTCTATTATGAATGCAAATACGTACAATATGAACTTTATTTTTTTTTTATCGACAAAATAGAAAAAAAGATATTTTTTTTAACAGTTTGAATGATTTTTTTTTGAAGGGGAAGATTTATTTACTGGCTATTTTTTTTTAATGGTGATTTTTTTAAAAGAAATAAATGATTATAGAACAACTCAAAGTTTTCACAAAGAATTGACATTAAAGAGATGCAACAAATCTAGAAATAGTTTACAATTTGATAATCGTTATCAAATCTCAAATTATTTTTGCGTGACAGTAAATCTAAATCGAAAAACGTTTTTCTGGATGTATCATAATCCTAGTAAAGTTGAGCGTTGTTGATGACTCCTTATCTTAGCAAATCTAAATCTGATTTGAAATCAAAATTAATGTCAAATCCAAACTATAAAATATTAAATCCTAAAGCTTCGGATTTGTGGCACTTCTAATTAGAATAGAAAACATCATCAAGACTAAAGTTTTCATTCGGTTAATAAGATTTCTTAATTTTTGTTATTAAAGGAAATCAGTTCTGTTTTTTTTTCTAAATCTATTCGATTCTTAAGGTCAATAAAGTTGATGAAATTTTCTAAAGAAAACTCTTGGCATAGATTGTAAAACTATCGAATTTTATTAGATTAATTTCATTCAACAAAACCAAGATTTATTTTTTGTTTTATTTCTAATTCAAAAATTGTAGCAGTGTTCTAGTCAAAAGAATCAATTGTCTAGACGAAACTTGTTATAAGTTTGTCATAAAAAATTCGAGTCAAAGATGAATAAACGTTAGATATGAACAAGATGGTCTCGATCCCGACGGGACTGGAACAAAAAACGATTGGTTCCACTCATCACTAATCAACATATATTTGAAAAAATATATACAAGTATTCGTAATTGAATTTTCAACTCAAGTAGAATAAATTACATAGAGAGTGTATGTCGATCGGATTGAAAAAAAAATCAATGTTTCGTACTATGAAGAATTTTATTACGGTTATCTTTTATTTGGAAATTTTATAAGAAGACAAATATATATCGCACACAGTCATTAATCAAAATTAGAAAATTATATTGTTAAACATTCTAATCTAAACACTTGTTGATATGTCATAAAATATGAACTATCTTATGGATAGTTGTCAATGATAAGACATGATTGAGAGTTATTTAATTTTCTCTTATTATGATATGCCTCAATAAAAAAAACAAAAAAAAAACTTCTTGTTTTGAAAATTAGATTCTATTGATTGAAAAACAATAATACTTTACTCAATAATATATTTGACTTCATAAGATTCAGTTCAAATAACCATCTTGTCATATATATTATACAGAAATTCAAATGACATGAGTGTTCATTCAAGATTAGAATAAATTTATAGACGAATAAGTCTCTATCACACTCTTAACGCTATCTGTCATTTTCTATTCAACAATATTCAACTTTGATGAGCAAAGAATATATATATATATATTCATGACAATGGTATTATTTTTCTAATGCAAACACAACTTGAATACCGTCAAATGTTAAAATTACCATCACGATCTACTATCGTTTGCATATCTATTATCAATGTTTGACCCACTTGTTAAATTATGTTTTTTTTTTACTTGTGAATATTTCATGTCAAAAACAACTGTAGATTTTTATCTTTTTGCTATGTAGAATTTTATCGAATCACTCTATAGACAACAATAAAACTCTTATAAAAATGATAAATAAATCATCGATGACTTAACTTTAATAAAATCAGTTAGTTGTCATGAAGACAGTTGACTTCTGCTTAATTGAGCAGAGATCTTGTTTATTCTTCAATACGCGGAGAAGAGAAAATGACAACGGCAAAAGAAAAAAAAGAAGAAATGCGACAAAAAAAGAAGAAGATGAAGCCGAAGAAGCAATCACACACTATTTGCAGATAATTCAATTTCAGGCGAGGGTTAAAGGAGAGAAAAAAAAAGTAGTGAGAACGAACCGGTTGAGAAAACAAAAAATAGAATAATAGAAGAGCCATCATCATAAGTGAACAAAAAAAACCAAGAAATTACATAAACATAGATATAGGGACGAAAAAAGAAAAGACGAAGAATACTTGAAGAACTTTATTGTCTGCTCCATTCATAATAATAAACTTATTTTGTTTTATCTCTAATCATTGAAATATAAACTCTACCTTTGCTAATCTATGTTACTAATCATACACAGTGTAACATCGGCAGAGAGAAGAAAAAAACAAAAAACAACACGAACAACGCTAGATCGATCGTTCTAATTTTATTTTCTTCTTTCTTATTTATCTTGGAAAAAAAGGAACACGCAAAAAAAAACGAAAAAAAAAACCAAACAAACAAACACTCGTGCTCAAAGAAAGCACGGTCATCATATACAAAATCAAGGTAGAAACAAACAACAAGGAACGCGTATGTCGCTGAACAAAGATGCTTGTGAATGAAAACGAGAGAGCGAAAAAGAAAGGCAACAAACAGATAAAAAATAATATGTAATAGTATAGTTTTCCAAAAAAAAAAAAAGAAAAAAGCAGTGTGACGTAAATAGAGGAAGACAAATGACACGCAGAGGAATGTAGAAAAAAAAAGAAAAGAACACATTTTAACACACAAAAAGTGACAATGGACAAATTCGATGATAATGAAAAGAAAAAAAAAACCGAATTCTTATTTATTTTTTTTTTGTTTTGTTTTTCATGTTCTTATGTTGAATAAAATATTCATCTTGATTTGTTTGTTTGTTTTCAGAAATGAATTTAAACAGGGCTTTGCACTGTAATCAGATGATAATACACATAGAGAAGAAAAAAAAACACATACGCATACGAGAAAAAGATAATGATGATCACGAAAACGGTGGGATTAGAGAATAGCAGGCATGCATAAATGAACAAAGAAAACAAAAAAGAGAAAAAAGAAAACGAAAACAATGTACATTCGACTTGATGATGTCTAAAGAATTAATAATTATTTATTTAAAAAAATAATTTTTTTTTAATGTTTTGTTTATTACCGATTGAAAAAAAAAGAAAGAACGAACATATTTTTTTTTAAAGACCATGAAATCCATTAGTATAATGTGATGTCAATAGTGATGCCTAGAAAACAAAGTAAAAGATAATGAATTAATTTTATTCAATTAGGAAATTTTCTTTTATTTACAGCTATAGGTAATCCTGATGTTGGACTTGTTGGTTGTAAATATTGTGCTGTAAGTTGATCTGCTTGAAAAAAATCAAGCCCATTCCCACCTAGAATAATTTATTTAATTAATGAATTAATTGATTAATTTTTTTTTTTGGTTTTGTAAAAATCATACTTCTTTGTAATAATGAATCACGATGCATTTGACCAGCAGCAGCCGCTGACATTGGTTGTGGTGTTAATGGATATTCAAAATAACGTTGTTCACCACCTGGTGTTAATGTTGGTGTTTGAAGTCCAACAGCAGCAGGAATATAACTTATTTGTGCAGATGGTAATCCTAATGAAAAAGAATTTCTTTCAATAAGACAGATTATTTAAACATATGAAGAGAAAAAAAAATAATCATGTTTTGTTCTATTTTCTCATGCAAATACAACAAATAAAAATAATTGATGGAAATAAAAAGATAAAGTTGACTGTCGTTAGATTACTAAATCTATAATGACTAGAAGGAATACAGAGAAAAAAAAATTCGGGAAAGAATAATGTTTACACACAGGCCAGAAAACAACCAGACGTCATATCCCACATGCTTCTCATTGTAAAATTTTCTAACTAATATATGAAAGATGGTGCTGAATTCATGGCCCGTGTATTTGTGAATTATAAGGTAATATCGAAAGCTGATCGACTAATTAGATAATCAATATATATAAGAATGAATGATAATAGAACTAAAAAACTATCACTTTCTTGTTTTTTTTTGTTTGTATTTAACCTACTCTCATCATCTATCAGTATAAGACACATTCCGTCTACAAAAAGTGCGTACACAAATATAAACCACACATATAAACTACTCTCATCTACGAGAAAATATTTAGAATAACGAGCAATATATGTATACCTAACATATTACGAACTACAATTATTTATTTTATATTTATATATATATATATATATATATATAAATATATTCTATCCTATCTTACTTCATACTCAAAATCTACGAATAGATAATAACACATACGGATTATTTTATTTTATTTTTTTTTTTATTTATTATTATTATTATTATTAATAACCCGTTGATATTGCTGAAAAGATTGATTTTTTTTTGTATATCCAATTTTCTTTTCGAATCTTTTTACATACCAGGTGAAAATGGATAAATAGGTCCAGCATATGTTGTTGGAATACTTCGATTAAGACCATATACATAAGCACCTTAAAGCAAAAACAAAAACAAAGACATATATATTTTTCAAATGAAATAACGAATTTTTTTCTATTTCATTTACTGAGTATATCACCATAGGCACCACGTTGTAAAGCTGCTTTGCCTTTAGCCATTTGCTGAGCATACATAACTTCTTTAGGTTGAGCTTTTTTACATTCCACCTTTAGAATAATAAATAATCTTTTTTTTTTCTTTTCTTTTCTTTTTATTGATTAAATATTTACCATTTTATTGTTTATTTCATGAAAATGAATGGCACATACTTTATCAACAACATCTTCAGATTCCCAAGTAACAAAACCAAAACCTGATTAATATTAACAAAAGAAAAATAAAAGAAAGAAATAAACTATGCTAAAAAAATCACATAATTCATACCACGATGACGTGCAGTTTGTTTATCAATCATTAGCATAGCATCTTCTACCTGAGGTAAGAATAAAAGATTAAAGTTTTTTTTTTCTTTTCATATTCTAATTAATAGTTCGTGTATTTTTATTTACTTTTCCATATTGTTCAAAATATTTTTTTACATCTTCAACAGTTGTATTGGCTGAAAGTCCACCGACGAAGATTTTTTTTGTTCGTGT